TCAAGTATTCCATAGCACTAATAGCACCATCATAATATCGTTGACCAAGATTATTTATACGACGTTGAATAGCAATTGTTTTAGCTTGTTTTTGTCTAATGCCTAAACCTGCAGTAAACTGAACATACATATGATGAAAACGATTTTCTTCTCCTTGCAAGCTTCAGACATGATGGTAGAATTTTATTTATATAACATATCTTCGTTCAACTTTTGTATTAAATTTATATTAGATATTAGTCATCGCAACTACTACTGGTTAAAATTCTATACTAGTAGAATTATAAGGAAAGCAACAATGAAGTAGACGTGATTAGAGTCACCATCTACTAAAGACATTATTTTTTTTCGACATTTTTCTGTTTCGATATTCTTCCACTTGAAAATTTACTTTTCGACATTTTTCCACTTCTATATTTTTTCTTTCGACATTTTTCCCTTTCGACATTTTTCCTTTCGACATTTTTCCTTTTCGACATTTTTCCCTTTCGATATTTTTCCTTTCGACATTTTTCCACTATTTTTTTCGACATTTTTCCCTTTCGACATTTTTCCTTTCGACATTTTTCCAGCACACCAAAACAGGACAATATGTTGTTAAGCCAGGTGTTCAAAATAGTTTGTCATATCTTATAAAATTATTAAAAGAAAAATTAAAACAAGAACAAGAATTAATAATGGATGAAAATAATGAAACTCATCTAAAACCTATAACTGATGAATTTCTTGATAATCATCCATTGTTAAAATCTCTCATTAGATGGTATCAACAAAATGATTTAAATAACAACAAAACAAACCAGTTTTTGCAATTGTTCATCGATAATTTAGTAAACAATCTCAGTCGATCTCCGAACAGTTTTCGATATGATGAATCAATGAAAAGATTTGCAGTATGTTTGCATATTCTAGGTGGAAAGCAAACCTACGAGTTTATTCGTTTAAAATTGTATGGATCTATACCTAATTTGACAACACTTGGTGATTTAATTAAAAACTCAAATATGGTCTTGAATGAAGCAGAGTTCAAGTTTGAATCTCTTCAGCAATTCCATTCAAGCTTTGGTTTCTGTTCTGAAGATACTACTGGAGTTATCCGTAAAATTGAATATGATTCTTCAACAAACTTTTTGTCGGATTCGCTACACCAACTGTTGATCGTGTTCCATTACCACAATCTTATCAAGCTGATATATTTAATGATTTAAAAACGTTTTATGATATAAATGAAAAAGCACCGTTACTGAATGTACACATGTTTCAAAGTATACCAAGTGATGATAATGCAACAAGTATTCCAAGACCATTTCTATTATCTGCTTATGGCGTCAACAATAAATTTACAGCTATGGATGTTTTACAGCGATGGTTATATATATACCGAAATTGTCTAAAAAACGGTGTTCGTATGATTGGCTTTTCTACAAGTAAATTTTAATGATTTTACATTTACTAAGACATTTTTTCATTTGTTAACAGACGCCGATGCGAAATATTTAAGTGACATGCGTATGGCAAGTGGTTTTTTTTGCGTCGTCACCAAATTTTAAATTAGAGAAGCATCAGCAGACATTTAGTATAGATATACCAAAAGACCGGACATGGTTCTTCCTTGGAAAAAATCAACTTTTTTGTTTTATCAATATCCAGTTCATCTCGTCACAAAATGGCGAAACGGATTATTTTCATCAACAGCGGATTTATGCTTTGGAATTGATAAAATCAATATAAAGCATACAGAAGAATTAATTGATGATGATCAATATGCAAAGTTAGACCTTGGAATAACCAAGAGCGATATTAACCCAAAGGATTGTCAAAACTACCGCTCGTGCATTAAATTAATATCAGATGATGTTATCAACTTGCTTATTGATCGTATAGACACAAATGGAACAGTTGTTTATTTAATATTGCTGAAAATGATAGCCAAAGCTTATATTGATAAATCAACCAGTTTGAATGAACGTAAGTCTATTTTTCAAATTAGAAAAAAAGAACCCTAAGTCTTTGCATAAATTAAAAATATTCATGCATTTAGGTATACAATCAGCATGGTGTGTTGTATTTGTTTGTCGAATATGATGGTCTTGGTTAAGACAAACATCATCTTCGAATTCATCAAAAAATAAAACAACAAGTGAACAAAAACATCATATTAACAAATTTTTCATTACAAAACCTGCATATTTGTCTGTTGAATTAAATGCGCATAATCTACTTTATCTGGTGCTTTTAGTGAAACAACAATATTTACCAAAACAAGCATTAATCAATATACATCTATTTAATTCTTAGGGATGTGAATCCTTATTTAGAGATGCAAGATCGTTAAGTGGCTCATTCTCAACAGTGGTCAACTTCACTGTCCGTAACTTTATTCGACGTTCACAAAAACTATCTATATTAAATAAATTCAAATATGATCAATCTGAACACAATCTATCTTTTCCCATGCATCATAAACACAAGCTTGATGATTCATTAGTGTCTTCTGATCGATCAAATGAAATTGATACATTAGATGTTGAACAGATAATATCCAATGCATATGATCAAGCAATACATGTTGTCCAACATTCAAAAATGTTAGATGTATTATACCAACATGATATAATTAATTTAAAAGAGTTAAGTGCATTTGTTTTTGATAATTTAAGTAAAACTTCAAAAATGTTTGGTTATTCTTCACAAATAACAAATGACAACACTGAAGAGTTTGAGTTGGACGAAGAAAATGATGATAATGATCTGCTAAATGACGAACAAGATCAGCTCAATGACGAAGACCTATTAGATTTTGAAAATGATAATGATATTGCTGATGAAGACGTACTCACTTCAACAAAATCCGACTTCAAT